AAACAAAGCTGCTGGATAATGCCCTAGAGCACAACAGGGAGCTGCTTTGGATTGTGTGTAGAGGGAACGTTTCTCTGAGGAAGTGATGTTTAAGCTGAGACTGAATGAAAAGAAGCTAGCCAAGTGGCTATGTTGGGATGAGGTTCTTCCTAGATGACTTTGTTGACCTGCCAGATTTGAAACCCATCATTTTAATTTAAAAAACTGCAATGTTGGAAGCTTTCAGGGATGTCTGTGTGGAATCCATCCTGTGTAGTAGTTTCGTGTCCTTATAAGTGTACAGGATGTAGCTAAATAGGATATATAGTATAAAGCAGCAAATCTCAAAATATAGTCTTCAGACTCCTGGTCCATGAAGTAAAAACTATTTTCATAATAATATTAAGACAATACTTGGCTTTTTAACTGTGTGGACATTTGTACAGATGGTGTAAAAGCAATGATGGATAAAACCACTGGTGCCCTAGCACCCAACTGTATTAGTACTCATTGTATTCTTTACCATCATGCATTTGCAGTAAATTAATAAATAAATTCAACTGCCACATAAGTTGTCTTTGATGAAACAGTACAAATGATTATTATTATTATTATTTTTTGATGAGGAAGATTGGCCCTGAGCTAACATCTGTTGCCAATCTTCCTCTTTTTGTGTGAGGAAGATTGGCCCTGAGCTAACATCTGTGCCAGTCTTCCTTTATTTTGTATGTGGGACCCCACCCCAGCATGGCTTGATGAGTGGTGTGTAGGTCCACACCTGGGATCCAAAACCATGAACCCCGGGCTGCCACCGAAGCAGAGTGTCCACTAAGCACCACCATGCCATGGGGCTGGCTCTTTTTTTTTTTTTCTGGTGAGGAAGATTAGCCTTCAGCTAACATCCATTGCCAATCCTCCTCGTCTCGGTGAGGAAGATTAGCCCTGAGCTAACATCTGTGCCCATCTTCCTCTGTTTTATGTGGGACACCTGCCACTCATGGCTTGATAAGCAGTGCATAGGTCCACGCCCGGGATCTGAACCTGTGAACCCCGGGCCACCAAAGCGGAGTGCATGAACTTAACCACTATACCACTGGGCTGGCCGGAAACAATACAAATTATTAATTTTATTAAATCTTGACTTTTTTCTCATCACGCACACAAAAAATTTGTAACTATGTGTGGTATGGAAGTTAACTAGACTTATTGTGGTGATCGTTTTGCAATATATACAAATATTAAATCATTATTTTGTACACCTGAAAGTAATATAATGTTATATATCAATTATATCTCAATTAAAAAATTATAAAAAATCTCAACTCTTGAGTATGCATCTTTTCAGATTCTGTATGATCAAATGGAAGTATGCTTAAAGCACATCTACTGCAGGTAACGTTGTTTTGAGGAAAAACAGTTATGTGATCGTTTGAGTTGTAAGCTGAAATAGGCTATTTTTTATGGAACTTCATTTTTACTTGACAGAACAACAGACAGAATAACTATGGTTGTTCAGACTTGGAAATCTGGCAGGAAATCTAAAGAATGAGTGATCCAAGCCTTTTACTTTAAGGAAACAATTGATAGTATTTGTTGCCAATGATAAAATTCAAGCTGTCAAGCAAAAATTAAAATTTTGGAAAACATATTTGCCACAGTGAGCTTGACAGTTTCTCAGTACTTAAAGACTTCTTGGATGAGGTTGGTGGTGAAATTAATGAGCATAATTATTTGATATTTTAGAAATAAAATAGGTCAACATTTGGAAGATCTGTATTAATTCAGTTAATGTAGTTAATTCATTAGTTAATGAATTTATTAATGTATGAATTAATGTAATTAATTCATTAATTCAGTTAAGTAGTGTTTTCCAGATGATCAAAGCATGATATTACAAAACTAACACCGTTAATGCTTTTGGGGGCATGTTCTGCTATTGTCAATAATGCTTCAAAACAGGAACAAAGTTAATATGTTGTGTACTTCAGGGCAATGTTTCTCAAAGTGTATTTCTTTTGATGTTAATAGATATAAACAAGCTTTGTAAGTAATTTTGGGTGATGTTTGTCTAAAGAAATTTAATAAGTTTTGCTGTGTTCTGGATCTTCTAAAAAGCATTGTAAATCTCCTAGAAGCAGTTAAAGGAGTCGTCCCCAAGATTACTTGAATTTAGAACGGTTTTATCATAGATCCTCTCTCCATTCTGGTATTCTTTGGAAAATACTGCCATAGAGAAATAGAATCTTAGGACTGAAAAGACGTTTAAAGGCTGTTTAACGATCATTTTTAGGAAGCGTATTATGAAGTGCTTTTGGGATCAGCATTTGTTGAAGGGAAGGGAACAGGATTAGGCAGAGGGAGAAGGTGGACTGCAGTGCAGTCTCAATAAAGGCCTCATCAACCCCCTGGGAAGCTCTGGATCTGGGGTGGCTCTTCAGACTTGTTCCAACTTGGGTTGAGGGGATTGGGCACTAACAGCTCTTCATCAGTAAGTCATTGGATATAGGCCACCCCTAGAAGAGTGCGTGACCTTTGCTGAGGCAGCTCTTGTTAACCAAGGCATCTCTCAAGCAAGTTAAGAGCCTGGGCTATCTGCCATTGGCACTCCATTGGCACACACTATAGGAATAAGGCTTTCATTTCTGAAGGGGGTGGGGCAGTGTGCCACAGGATGCATGCAGAGGTGTATCTGTGAGGTCTTGTTTTTGGCTCCTAACAACAGAGATGTGATGATTCTTAATACATAAGGATTTGCTTTTCTCACATAATGAGAAGTTTGAAGGTAGGCCCTTGCTGGCGTTTGTCTCTTTTATTATCTTAGTCTCGTCCCATGCTCTCAAGGTGGCTACTAGACATCCAACCAACATGTCTGCATTCCAGGCAGCAGAGATTCCTAGAAGTTCCACCCAGTTACTTCCACTTGTATATTCCTATTGGTAATGGAAGCTAGGAAATGAAACTTTTTCAGCAGGCACATTGCCCCGAGTTCTGTTGCAAAGGAAGAATGGATATTGGGGTTGGCAGCTCATATTCTTTGCCACAGAAAATCATCATTAATCTGGATAGGCAGGCAGGAAAAACATTGCAAAACCATCAGAGTCTGTTGAAGTGGCTGGGGTTGGTGATGGGGTTGGAGGGAGGGTGGGAATATGAGTGTGGCAAGAAGCAGGTAGATTTTAGGAAACCAATCAAGTAGATAAGAGTTAAAGAATTTTGACCTCGGCAATTGGAGGTACTGGGCAGGAAAGTCAGGGGTGACCTTTAAGGGCAAAGTGAGGGGGCTGGCCTGGTAGCAGAGCGGTTGAGTGCACGCTGCGCTTCGGCGGCCTGGGGTTTGCAGATTCAGATCCCAGGCGCGGACGATGGCACTGTTTGTCAAGCCATGCTGTGGTGAAGTCCCATATAAAGTAGAGGAAGATGGGCACGGATGTTAGCCCAGGGCCGGTCTTCCACGGCAGAAAGAGGAAGATTGACGACGGATGTTAGCTCAGGGCTAATCTTCCTAACAAAAAAAAAAAAAAGAGCTCAGTGAAATTTCTAGATAAACTACTACCTTATGTACTTGCTCTATGGGCAGCAACCAGTTAGTTACCCCCAAAAAACTAGTAGCTAATAAACTGCAAAGTCATACCAAGCTCAAGGCTTTACCTTTGATCTTAGTGAAATTTCAAGGCCACAAAATCTAATTTAAAATTTCATAGCTATTTATTTTAATCCTCTGAAATATAGAGACATAGAAAAAGTTCTGTGAAGTAGCAGAACAATATACTCTCATGTAGTACAAAAGGTGTGTTTTCATGCTCCCTTCCTAAAAATCTCCTTTGAGATCTCTTTCCTATGATCATATTACTAACCAGTTAGAACTGAGACATTCCCCATTTAATGCCAGGATCCTTCAGTAAAAGAATGGGCCCTTCTGCTGGTTCTTTCCACTCTCCAGAGCCATCATAGCAAAGGGGCATGTGGCAGCATAGTGTATAGAGGTCAAAGCTTAGACTGTCGATGCAGTCTATTTGTCAATATCTAGAGCTATGTTTGGTTGTTACAGCTGGGGTAGGCGGTGCTACTGGCATGTAGTAGATAGAGGTTGCTTAAACATCCTAAAATGCACAGGACAGCCCCCCACAGCAAAGAAATATCCAGCCCCAAAGGTCAATAGTGCTGAGAAAAAAGCTTGTTTTAACCTTTCCAGCCCTTCATTTCTTCACCCATAAATTGGAGTTAGTATTAGTACCTGTTTGTTTTTGTGATGATTACATGAGATAATCCATGTAAAATGCTTAACATAGTGCCTAGCACATAAGTGCTCTGTTAATGTAAATTACTATTAACATCATCATTATCATCACTAGTACTAGTTTGGATATTTAGACTGAATTAAAAGAACATGCCATATACTACCTGTAGCCATGCAGCCAGGGAAATCCATTTGCCTCTTTCCTTCGAAAATTTCTAAAGAGCAAAGGAAAATGGGGAATGGAACAGAAGAAGCCCTTCTTGCTTATAGTAAAAGAAGATAATGAATCAATAATTAGTATACTTTATTCTAAGTTCTATACTTTATTCTAAGTTCTAAGAAAATTATGTGCAATCCTATTCATGTAGACAGCTTTCTTCTTCAATGTGGATGTCTTTTTTCTTGTCTTTTCTTTCTTCCTTTTGCACCATATTGCAAAGTTACACGTCCTTTCCTTTCCACATCTTTTGGAGTTTCAACTCTTTCAGTCTCTTCTGGCTATCAAGGACTTGGGAGCCATTAAAGTAAAAGAAAGCATTGGCCAGGACAAAGCATTGGTATATCTGAAAATAAGTTTATTCATATTGAATTCATACTGAAAATAAAATTATTCATATAGTAACCAAATGAGCTGCTGAAATGTTTGCTAAGTTTTCAAACCTACAATTTTCATTTAGTAATTGTGGTAAGAAATACTGGAGTAAACTCTAAGTCTCTAAACTTCACTTAGTAACCATAAATTCATTCATATCACAGTGATCTTAATAATCTTCTATTTTTCAAGGCAAATGCAATAGGCCGAAGTGCTAAAACTGTCCGAGAATTTCTAGAAAAGAATTACACAGAAGATGCTATAGCAAACGACAATGAAGCTATCAAATTAGCAATAAGAGCTTTGCTAGAAGTAAGTGATCTAATAAAGCATATTCAGAAAGGCATGGGTTTTTTTTAATTCAATTGCTTATTAAAACACAATTTCCTGAAGTAATTCTAGTATTGCACTTATTCTACATTAGGTTGTCCAGTCTGGTGGAAAAAACATTGAACTTGCTATAATAAGAAGAAATCAACCTTTGAAGGTAAGTCATTAAGCAAAGAGGAAAAAATATCTGTAGTATAAAGTATTTTGACAAAAGTTAAAATGTTGTTGACACCCGTGAATCTTCATTATAAGCCTGAAACATCTGTTAGCTTCCATTGACACTACAATTTCCATTTTGTTTCTGTAGGCTAATAGTCACTAATTTGTATGTGCTTATTGCAAGTAGTTACCTATCCTTAACCCTTTGTGAAGACTTAGAGGCACTGAGATCTATATTTGGGCCTATCCCATTTAGTAGTTCTGTGTGCTTATAAGTAGAAACCCCTATTGAGTCAGGCCTATATGGGGTCAGTATAGCTATTCCCTATGGAGATTCATTCCTGGCACCATATAGAGACCCATCGTTTTAGATCTTCTGAAATCAGGATATGCTTCCAGCCAGTGTCATTCAACTATTTATACAATTGTTGGCCCTCCAGGCTTCTAACATAATGTTATCTTTCATTGTGTTAAAGCATCACCAATTCTTGATTGCCTACTGGCTTTTATCTCTTTTCTCTTCTTTTCACTTAAAAGTGCCTTGAGCCTCTGTCAGACTTAAATTTTAATACCTAGCGTGATAACTTTTCCATATGTCTTTGTGGCAAGTCTAGCATTATTATTTGTATACCTTTTGTCAGCTGTTATGGGTTAAAACTGCTGGACCACAAAATAAATTGTTCAGAACAAAGTGATAAATTGTTCAGATATTGTGATAGAGGACTCATGGGCTAAAGAGCACTTGAAATGCGGTTCACTATTGTTCATTAGGTAGAACTTTACATGTTAGTTTGTCAACTAGCTCTCTTTAGCCGAGAGTGTACAAAAGCACTTAAAGCATGGGAAACTATATGAAAAAGGTGCTAAAAAGGATATGTTACATATACCTTTTGTTTTAAGCAAAATATTTCAAGGGGAAATAGTGTTAAAATCAGTGCTATGTGGAGCAGTGGGGTTTTTTGTTTTGGGGGGTTTTATTGTTGTTGTCATTGTTTTGACATCACATCCCCACCTTTTATTAGTTAATCAATGGATGGGGACACAGGATAGGGCAGCAGCAGAGTTTCAGTGAATAAGAGAAATGGGGACAGGGTAATAGGGTCCACCCTGGCATGGCCCCACATAAATAACCAGAGTGCTGAGCACAAAGTGTGGAGATGGGAACTGGGCCACACTGTCACCCGTTGTAAAGGGCAGGGGGACAGATGTGCCAACACCACAAGGACAGAGAACCACTGAGGCCAGAGTCACCTCTCCAGCCCCATCACATACAGACATACATATACACACCTGGAGAGACACACACACAGTTATACATATATTTTTATTTATGAGTGGTAGGATGGTATGTCTACAGACAGCAAAGTTATGCTCTCCTTCCACATAATATTTCAGGATAGGCTGTAGAAAAATAGTGCATGTGCTTTGGAATTGGATAGACATGGTTTAAGTTCAGAGTTGGCTAGACCTGGGTTTAAGTACCATCAGATCCATTTGTTTCACAGTATGACCTTGAGCAAGTTGCTCCCATCTTTTAAATAAAAGAAAACTGATTTAGATAAAATAAAAACTGTTTTTGCTTTGTACTTTGTGAGAGAATTATAAACAAAGCAGTGTAAATCATCTTTTCCCTACCTCTTTGGCTAGTCTATGAGCTGATAAAATAGTCAAACCCTATAAGAGTGGGGTAGGGGTAGGGAGAGTTCAGTAATGAGTTATTTGCTCATGAATAGAATAAGCCTTGCATTAAAATGTTTTCAGAGTTATATGCATATATAGGATATATAATGCAATATCACATTTTGCCCTGCTTTCTTTTATAGCACAATGATAGTGGAAATGTCATAGAGTTCTGGTTTTGTCCATCACTGTTACAAGTTGTGTTGCTTTTGAACCTTTTGAAATATTTCATTATATATTTGAAGTTATATAAAATATAAAGTTATAAATAGAAAATGTTAATTTATAAAATATAATTGGGTTCCTTCATACCATAAATATTTAGAAATTATTGGTATAATTGAAATTTGCTTTTTAAATTTTTTCTCTTTTCAGATGTTTAGTGCCAAAGAAATTGAATTACAAGTAACTGAAATAGAAAAGGAAAAGGAAGAAGCAGAGAAGAAAAAATCAAAGAAGATTGCCTAATTCTTAGGATGAGCGCTAGGAGTTTTTAATGTTTTGTTGTACTCCTTGGAATTATTTAGTGAAGTTTTAAAGGAAATAAGTTGATTTGTGGCATTACATTTAGTTGTTATGTGCTGTTTTGAGAATGCCACATTTGTGGCTGTCTTTAGTCTACTACATGGACAAATATACATTAGTAGGAAGATTTTCTTTGAAAAGAGATTTCAGTAATTGTTGAAAGCAGTCAATTCCACATAAGCCTGAGACTGTACTTTATGACTTGTTGTCCAGTATATTACTTTTCTTCATATATGCAAATTTAATTAAGAAAAAAATTTTAATTAAAAAATTAGTAATTTGATGACATTTGAGTATTGACCGTCAGGTAAAAAGATAGCTATTCCAAAATAAACTGAATATAATATTGAGTTCCTTTTTAGATGCATGATAAAAATATCCTTGCATTGGTGAATTGCCAAAATTTTGTCAGCTTTCTTCATTTTTAAGTATTTTGTCATATTTATTTTGCCTTTGTCATTTCATAAGTTGTAGTATATCATTTTGTTCATGGAACAAATTTTAAAAGCCTAATCCAAATAGGCAATTAAAATAAAGTGTGGTAGGAGCTTATAAGGACATCTGAATATATGAAAATAAGGAGAGAAATGAATACATTTAATTCATAGTTTCAATTTTAATTTTATCTTAAGTATGTCCAGTGTGTTAGGTTTGTTACATGTTCCAATCAGATATCTAAGTGCTTACTATGTGCTTGCATTGTGCTAGACTTATTGGGAATAATAAAAGAAATATAAAAAGTTAATCCAAATAGCCCACAGAAAGAATGTGTTTAATGCCTGTAATGAGGTTATATTTTTGAAAACAAAGGATATTAATAGGCATAAACACAAAAGCCTATATACCTTATTATTTTAGAGCTTTGCCTTTTTTTTTAATATTCTTTTTGAAAACAGGGAGGAGAGGTTGAGTTTTTGCAGAGGAATAAAAAGCTCAGGGGACATGGATCAGTTTGGGCAAGCGCTCATAAGATCTAAGCCGTTGGTGGTTGTAGTGCTCTGAAGAAAGGGCAAAGGAAAGAGCAGAGTCAGAATTTTAAGAGATATAAAGTCCTTACGAGGCCACCTCACTGGTATTCATCTTGGGCCAAATTCCTGTGGCCTCCTGCTGCTGCACTTAGGTTCCTCAGACAGAAAGACTACAGGGCATTTTCTAGGGCGGAATGTATGATCTGTATTCCACTCTGACTTATGTCGTGACTGCCTTTCTAGTTTTCATTGGAACCATGGAATTTTGTGGCTCCCTATACCTTTTTTCTTTAAAACTTAGAATCAAAGCCAAATAACCTGTTTTCTGTCACCTCCTGGCCCTGCTTAGCTTTCCAGAAGGAAAGGTGCTTCCCAAGTGGAAGGCTTACTAAACAAAATTTTAGCACTTGGCGAAAAAACTCCCACACCCTTGATAATCCATAATCAGCTCCTACTGAAGATATCTCCCTCAACATGCATGCACACACACACAACACACAGGAGGGACAGGATATTCGCATTATCCTACTGCACTGCAATGAACCCATTGTGAATCCTTGATACTCTGGATACATGGCTTAGCATCTTGCATATACCTGTTTCTTGGCACTTATTATACTATATTGAAATTATATGTTTGATCTACTTTTTGAACAAATATTGAGTCCTTCAAGTGGCAGACACTGTTAGATGCCAGGGATATAGTGGTAAAGAGTAGCTTAGTTTTTTGTCCTCATTACTGTGTAGTGAGAAGGCAGATATTAAACCCAAATAATTATTATATATAATAGGGATTAGTGCTCTGTGTCTATCTTCCCTACTAAACTAGAAGCTCTTCAGGAGGCAGGGCTGGGACCCATGCTTTTTTCGTCTTTGTTTCCACAGCTTCCCTATCATTAAGACTTAATACATGTTTGTCGACTTGCACATTGTTGCACATATCAGATATTAGGAGGAAGGGGGAGATGAATCATCTAGTCTAATCTCTCAGTGTAGAAATCAACTTCCTAATCTCTTTGGCCCTTGTTGAACATTATAGTAATGGGAAGTCACCACATTGTCAATGAATATATATTGCATGCAGGGCATGCAATATATATTCAGACCCTGGTTAAATAAAAATGGGGGGACTTCCAGAAAGAGAGGAATGTGTTGTTATGCAACATAGTATGGCCCTGGGAAACCTTCTGAAGGTGTAGTGATTTGAAGTGGCATTCAGCTACTCCTCATCCCTCACTGAACATTCTCCTTGTGCCAGGTACCAGAAATGAACCTGATAGGGTCCTTGTCTTGAAGAGATCATAGTACCAAATAACTGAGTCTATTCTTGCAAGTTATATGAATAATGGAAAGTATATTTCACGTATAATCTGTGAATTTAATATGGAACTTGTTTCTGGAGTAACATTTAAATCTTCCCTAGTAAATGCAGCACACAACACCAGATCTTTTATTTTTTTTTTTATAATTTTTTAAAAAATTTTATTTATTTTTTCCCCCGAAGCCCCAGTAGATAGCTGTATGTCACAGTTTCACATCCTTCTAGGTGCTGCATGTGGGACGCGGCCCCAGCATGGCCGGAGAAGCGGTACGTCGGTGCGCGCCCGGGACCCGAACCCGGGCCGCCAGCAGCGGAGCGCACGCACCCAACCGCTAAGCCACGGGGCCGGCCCAACACCAGATCTTTTAAAAAGGAAATGAGGGGCCAGCCCCGGCCACCTAACTTAATGGTTAAGTTCGGCACGCTCTACTTTGGTGGCCCGGGTTCAGTTCCTGGGCATGGACCTACACCACTCGTCTATCAGTGGCCATGCTGTGGCAGCAGCTCACATACAAAATAGAGGAAGATTGGCAACAGATGTTAGGGCCAATCTTCCTCAGCAAAAAAATAAAAAGGAAATGGGACCTATTTTTTGTGTTACTAAACAAAAGAAGGGGGTTGGTTATACCTCCCTGTCTCCCAATTTCTATCTCTGATACAAGGACAGGACATTCTACACCCCTGGATGGATTTGGCAATAAATAGATATAATGTTAATGACTCTCTTCTGAACATACCTCAGCTGTGTGGATCCCATGTTTCCTATCTGGGGGGAATAGGGACACGTCATCCAAATGATATGGTTGTAATTCCACTCCTTACTTTTATTAAACAGGTACCATATAGTGCTTACTACATGCCAGACAGTTTTGAGTTCTTTACAAACATTAACTCACTTAGTTCTCGTAACAACTCTCATGAGACACGTTATATAGTTTATGCCCAAGGTGCAGATGCTTATGGTGCTTTGCCTCCACAGCTGTCCATCAAAATCTCCCACATCGCCCTCAGAAGGCTGTTTCCTGAGAGGTGAGAGCTTTTCTATCTCATTGGCTTTATTCCTCCTGTAACCAGCATGAGGGTCTGATTATTTTTGGCTCAACTGCTTTCTTTTACTTTGGAAGGTATTATTTTGGCCAGGTTTCGCTGATCTACACAAAGCAATTTTTTTATTTAATGTGACGTTTTAGCCAAAACATACTCAAACATTATTGCTATTTAAAATGTCATTTTTACATCTTTTATTGAGAAAATTCCCTCAAATGCAAGCACTTTGTGCTTTTTCTCTCTTGTATCCTCAAGGTGAGATAATCACAAACATTTGGTTTTAGGAATCAGTTAAATAACTTTTCTCCCATCATGGGGTTTTGGTTAACAAGATAGTCTGAAAAAAAATCTCTCACTACAGGCATAGAAATGCTGGATAAAACCTAACGAACACCCTTTTAAATGCATAGCTGAGCTCACAGGAAGTAAGGGAAATCCCCAGAGGCGAAAAACAAAAAGGGATTTGAAAATCAGAGAAGGCATTTGAGCAGATGCTGGTGCTGCCTTGGAGGAGGTTGTATTGGCACAGGGAAGAAGCAAACTAAGAATGAGACAGAGAACCTAGAAATACACCCAGCTTTCCTGGAACACTTGGTTTATGGCAGCTAGCATTGCAGTATCAGTCAGTGGGTAAAGAATAAGCTCTTCAATAAATGGTGATAGGACAACTGGTTATCCATTTGGAAAGAAAGAAAACTGGACCTCTACTTCACACTATTAAAAAAAAATTCCAGATGAATTAAAGACCTAAACATAAAAGATAAAACGTTTAGAAGACTGTACAGGAAAATAGCTTTAAGACTTTGGGGGTAAGGATAGATTTCCTAAACAAGATACAAAAAGTGCTAACACTTCAGGAAAAGATTGATAATTCAACTACCTGAAAATATAAGCTTCCCTACGTCAAAAGATACCATAAAAAAAGTGAAAAGATGGGCCACAAATGGGAGAAGACATTTGTAACACATATCACTGATAAAAGGCATGTGTCTGGAATTTATGATTTTTATTCAAAGCAATAGAAAATAACAATGCAACAGAAAAATGGGTGGAACATTTAAACAAGCAGTTCACAGAAGAGGAAACCTGACTGCTTTTCTCTTTATGAAGAACTTCTGAAATGATGTTCTACCAGATTAATCCAGGAAATGCATAGTATAACTATGAGACACTATTTTACAACCATCAGATTGGCAAAAATTAAAAATGACTTTGTATAAAACGTTGGTGAGCATTTGGAGCCAAAAGAACTCATCTACTGGTGTTAGAACTGTAGACTAGGACAACTGCTTTTGGCAGCAAGTTAGTGAGATCTAGTAAAGTCAAATAGGCAGCAATTCCACTCCGAGGTATATAGCCTACAGAACCTCTAGCATACGTGCATAAAAATAATCACGTACAAAGGCATTGCTTGTGATAGCAAAAAAAAAAAAAAGTAACCTAATATTTATCAACAGAAGAATGAATGAATCAATTATGATTTATTCATACAGTAGCATACCATAGTAGGTAAAAAGAAGGCACTACAGCTACCTGATGTATCAACATGGATATGTCTCAAAAACATCATATTGAGCAAAAACAAAAGCCAGTCGTGAGGGCGTATACACAATGTGGTGTTTATAGAAAGCTTAAAGATCTACAAAGCTAAATATAGTATTTAAAAGATAAAATGAGGTAAAACTGAAGAAAAGCAAGGGAACGGTTGTTGCAAAATTCAGGAGAGTGAGTACTTCTGTCAGGAGCTGGGAAGAGGAATGCACAACTGGTAATGTAAAGCTGGGTGGTGAGCGTGTGCATGTTCACTTCATTATTCTCTACACTGTACAGGTAAGTTATCTGCACTTATTTATTATGTGTTTCACAATGGGCTTTGGGTTTTTCTTATTGATTTATAAGTGCTTTTAATATATTTGAGAAATTACTCTTTGCTTATGTATTAAGGCAATGTTAGCTACTATAATAGATGAATCCACACAGTAGTTTATTTCTCAATAATAAAACCCATTGCTGATAGAGATCGTTCCTCCAAGCAAAAATCTAGGAACCAAGACTCCTCCCATTTTATGGCTCTGCTGTGACCGGGAACCAGGCAAGGAAAGGGTTACTGAGAATGTGATCAATAA